TACGAGCTGGAAAAAGTCTCCCACCATCCATTCCTGACACATTAGTCAGTTAGGCATACAGACATGTTTTGAAAGCCTCTGCATATATCAAATGTCAGATTAACCCATTAATGCTTTATACTGCCACATGGAAAGCAACCAACAACAACACAAGAAACTCTGTCGATCTGGAAAACACGAGCAGCGGTGATGCACAGCAACAGCCTTCTGTATAAAACAATGCAACCGCAGGGCTATCAGATCTTTCCAAGACATCCCTCATGTACCCCCGACGTGACGCATCTTATCTTAAAGAAACAGAACTAAGAAACTTGGCACCTGAGAGGTAACAAAACTCCACCAATGGGGAAGAGGACAAAATAAATGACTGGGTCTTTGTGCTTTGCCATAAAAATAGCACAGGTCTGTCAGCACGAATGTATTTACATCTGTGCTGAAACATCTCAGAGAACATCTCAAAGTGTGAGCTGCACACATTCACAGCTCGACCTGCTGCAGTTCTGCGGGCTGTGGTGGGGTGCAAATAAAAAAAAACGACGATCAGGATTTCAAAGACTGAAAATCTTAGCCATTTTGGGGGTACCAGGGGGTTTCATCAACAAAGGTGCTCTGGTCCAGATGCTGTTGGAGAAGCCCAGGGTCTGCCAGCAGAGTGGACTATGCAAGAGGCAGGGTTAGGAATACTTTGTTTGGTCGCGATACTCTCTCCTTGCTATACAGCAGAGACGCCTCTTTCTGACTGGGATTCCTGCACATGCACAGGAATCCTCCGGCTCCGACAGCTTGCATTTCCAGAGGGAAGCCTGTGCAGGCCTCAGCCTTCCCCGTGGTGACACAGGGACTGAAGCCAAAAGCCTGGAAACTGGGAAGATAACCTGCAGTTCCGGACAAGGGAGAGGAAGGGAGAGGCTGGGGCATTAAAAAGATTCCGAATTCCGAGCTTTTTTTTTCGTAGCACAAAGTCCAGTGTGCACTGACAGAACCTGCAGGGCTCCAAGCACATCGTTCGCACCATCAGCCACTCTGAAAAGCAAAAGCTCGATAACTCGCTGTGTCTTTAGCACATTATCTGCTGGAGTCTTACTTGCGACACAATGAAGTTGAAAGTAAATGCGGTCTTTCTTTAAAAAAAAAAAAAGTGAACTAAATACCACAGGAAAGACTGTAAAGTTGCAGGAATGAGCCATGAGCTGCGCTGGGCTTGTGAGTGCCAGTACCTGCAGTCTCATCTCCTCTTGGCACTGTGCCCTCCTCATCGCCAGCTGTGAACCGAGACAGCCAAGACACACACTTCAACATGATCTGTCTTTACGGACAATAGGCTTTAGAACTGCAGTGACAGGAGCCATCCATTCTAGAAAACTGGTCCTATTGCTACTGCAGTAGCAGAGACTTGGCACTCAACAGACCCCATCTTCCCCAGGACCGGCAGGCAGGGCGCAGGCGAGCAGTCTGCCTTCCTTGCCCCCGCCCGAGTGCACAGCTCTGCCAAAGGGAAAAGGCCATGGGAGTCACCTTGCCGGAGCTGGGCAGGCCCTAAGGTGCATTTCAAAGAGTCGTTCCCCTCCCCGGTGTGTGAGCCGCCCACTGCCAGTCTGCAGGAGTGTCCAGAGAACCTCTCAGCAGACCGGGGCCCAGTCAGTGCTTTCTGCACTCTTACTTCCCCACTGCACCTTCTGTGAAGGGAAGCTTTCTCTCCCATATCATGATTGCGAAACACCCTGTTTAATGAAGAACAAAGAGAAGGAAGGGATTTGAGCGTTTGCAGACGGAACGCTTAAAAACAAAATTAACAATGACTGGATTTTGTGTAATCTGCTGTTCCAAACTATTCCCTCTGATGCATACTGGCATTAATGAAAGCTTCTGTATTGAGGACACTGCTGAAGGCTGTATGCAGTCCCCCTTATTTATCAACACAGCTGAGATGGTGCTTTCATGTTGAAAATTATCTAAACACAGGAAGATGAAAGCCAACTCCTACACAGCACTGGAGGAACAGTATCACAGAGGGCACACCAGGACAGCACAGCTGCCACATGGCAAGGGGGGGGGGTTTGGGCCGACCAAACAGACGACTGAGTTGCCACTCAGGGAAACGGACAATAAAAGCAGAAGCTCACACAAAAGAGAAGAACTCTTAAGCTTACAGGGTGGGGTCCCCTAAGCAGTGTTCTCTGTTAAAGCAGGTACTCTCATTGTGTACACAGACCAGCAATAAATTCTGAAGGAGTTCGAGTTGAGGCCGTTTCGGACCGCAGTACAACATTTCTCGAAAAACTTAGCCAACTATTGCTTGGTATCCTTACATAAGTCTGTCTTGTGTAAAACGATCCAGCAGAGTGGATTAGAATTCCACAGCTTGAAGAGGAGCTTGATTCCTAATGTTAATAGCCACACTAGGCGTTTGTAGAGCTGCTCTATGACTTAGCAAAGCAGGCCAAAACAAAGCCGTATGGATCAGCAAGGAAATTCACAGAAAGGCTCCACACTGGCGGAGCTTGGCCAACACTAAATCTGTGATCACTTCAGCTGGGATTTAGACAGGTCTGGCTTGTCTTGTTTAGAATTCTTTAAAACAATAGAAGACATTTAAAAGACATGAGAAAATGTTTTTGCTTTGCTTGATGGAAGCGTGCACAGATAAAATATTCACAACGTCCCAATTTGAGAAAGTGAAGCCGTCTCCTCGCTGTCTGGGAAACAAGGCTCGCTGGATGTGACCAGGCACACATCTGCGTGACAAACTGCAATTATTAGATCCCTGGGAGAAAGCGTATGTGGTCTAAGTTGTACCAACCCAGCCTGCAGTCATAAAGAGCAACAATCGAAACCTTGTTTTGTGAACCTCCAGCACAGAGTCGTGTCACACACGGGGTCACTGCACGCTTACGACGGCTGCGATTGCTTGCCCCGGTCTCGGGAGCACCTCGGGTGGTACTCCACGTTCAGGTGTGGCAATTCTGAAACCCACCTGCCCCACAAAACACCAGCTCACACTTCCTCCACAGTTCAGGGGCCTCACATCGGAAGGAAAAAAAAAAAACTAGAGCAGATCCCTTTTTTTAACTGCTCAGGAAAATGAATGTAAGTTTCATTTAGAGAACGTGTCCCTAAATTCTAGTCATTTCTCAGAGGAGCCTGTGTAACATTCAATTATTAATAATACTTGATCATCTAATTAGTAGAATGCCAGACCCCACTGTCCTGGTTTAGAAAGAGGACAAATAAGTAATACCCTCAGGAGGCAAACGAGGAGAAAATAGTGCTGGTTTCCATCGGAACCAGGAATGTTGCATTGCCAAAATTCAACATTTTTTACTGGAAAAAAAAAAAACTTCTTACTTTGCAAAGCTTTGAAAGATAGTCCAAAGCACACCAGCTTTGCCTTAGCCATATAAAAGCCTTTTGATGGATTTCCGAATCGATTTTCTGTTGAGGTAAGGTGTTGTTTCTGAGACTTTGCATCAAGAGTTCCATTAGGCTTGGGTATATCAGAGTTCATACATCTCATCATTTTGTCATCAAATATTATTGATTTTTAACAAAATATCAGATTCACTAAAACATACTTTGTGCAACAAAAATGTTTTTTTCAGCCCGTATCACTGGAAAAACAATGTACACCACAAATAAGCCATGTTAATTCAAATTTCACAGGTTGCAGGCAAACACTCGATAACCAGGAGTATATTATTGAGATGCAACATATCGTGGCCCCAAAACCTCTGGACTGGAATCCATGCTCCAGAAAAACGAGACTTTTACTCGACCCCCTAGCAAATATCTGATCATACAAGACTGCTTCACTCATGGAGTGGGCTCTGCCAGTTACAGAGTATCAGCATTAACCAGGCTGCACAGTGACTGGATGAACTCCTCAATAGTCAGGTCTGTCCTGTCCTGGACGATTTGGCAGCGACATTTAAATCAGAGGATAAGCCAGTGAAGGAGTCTGCTGTCTCGCTGCACGCCACTGAAGAGCACGCAAGACTGGGATTTTGCCTTCTAACTGAAGCCTTTGTTATTTCATAATGGACCTAGATTCTCAGTGCATGCTGTTCTCATGCTGCTGAAGCTGTTTTAGCATCCTCATCGAGAAAGGAAGGCATTGTTGTACCTGATGAAGACAGCAGGCTTACTTAAATGAACTGACTACCAAAAAAAACAAGAGCTATAGTGTCAAGTGGCTTCTCTACTGCAAGCATTTTCACAACAGGCCTGGGTGAGCACAAATCTGCACAGCAATACTTCCTCTGAATGATTCATGTTATTAAGCCAATTTTCTTCATGCATTTCAAACAGGAGCTGGCGGGTGGAGAGGTGGTGGAGGGGAAAAGCTAGATTACGTGATAAAGTAGAAGGTCACGAGGCCAGATACTCAGAAAGAGAAACGTTCCAGACCAGGACCGGGCCGATCTCGACAGCCTCCCGGAGCTGCCCGAGATACACCGGGCTCATGGTCCCCTCCCGTCACCTGCGCCTGCAGCCTCCCACATAAACAAGCCCAATCCCAAGCAGCATCCTTCCACGCCTGTTGTCTCCTCTGCCCGCTGAAGGTTTTGCGGTTTGCTCTTGTTCCAAAGCCAGAACTCTGGGTAGCAGCAGCACACAGGGCTCTTCACAGGCTTTTATACAGAATAAGGGCCTGCTTATTAACTGTCTTGTTCATCAGCCCACAACACAGAGAATCTGAGACATATGGCAAATTCTTTTGGCCCACTTTCCAACTGAAAAGGCCAGGGGCGGACTGCAAGCCTGTTATAAAGCTGGAACTTGTACAGTATCTTGCACCAGACATATCCGGTGGATTTCTGATTTGGTGCAGAGGAAAGAGGACAGGGAATTGTCCTTTCACAAACTCACACAACCCCCGTACGTGGCTGCTCGTGCAGAAGAGTGCCTTCGTTTTGTAGAGCACAGAAAAGAGATCACCTGTCCGGAGCATTACAAGGACTTTTACCCGCAGCACGGTAATTAGAATACAGGCTGGTACTTACTGGCAGGAGAGGGGGTGCTGTATCCGCTGACCGGCAGACCCGGGAGTGAGGGAGGAGACAGCCCCCCCAGGACGTGGGGGAAGAAATAGGAATAGTGTGCCATTGGGTAGCCATTGACGTGGGGGCCCAGTGCAGGCGTGGGGCAGGAGTTGCTGCTGCTTGACATGACTGTGCAGAGCACACCCCCTTATCCACTACACGGGGGTGGGGCTGGGGGGGGGGGTGCAGCACAACACAAATAACTGCCCCCCCAGTAAAACACAACAGCGAACAGAACGTTTAAAAAGTACTTCAAGACGTCTGCGTCAAATTTGATCGCCCCATAAAAGTGGCGGGAGACGATGGAGTCAGGCGAACGAGACGTTCAAAGCAGAATTCCCATTTTCTGGAAAAAAAAAAAAGCTGCACGTCAGTTAGGAATGAAAAAAACGGAGGCAGTCCGTGTGCGTGTCTACACCATGTTGTGCCCACTGGACGTTCGGCAGAGCGGGCAGATTTTAACACTATTGACAGCAATCCTTCAGCAAGTGGAGCAGCAGATGTCAATTGTGGAGAAAATACTCCTGTGTGCTTTCAGACCACAAAGTCAAGTTCTGACCGAGAGAGAACATCAAGAACTATTAAAAAAAAGTCACGGGAACTCAACTCCCCCTTCACAGTCGTTTCCTGAAACCAGCTTTTAGGAGGTTCTGTGCACAATGGGACTCTGATGGGAAATGGGAACCTTCAGTTTCAGTACATGACGGTGTGGCAGGCTGTCCTGCTGTTTTCTGCAGCTCCAGTTGGCAGGCCGGGTCCCAGTCTGGCAGGGGGTCTGTGTGATCACATCGCGCTGCGCTCGTCCTCGTGCTGGCCCCACGACTGGCCCTGCAGGACAGACAGAGTGGGAAGAGAGTGAGCGCACTGGTGCCCCCAACGCACCGCGACCCGCGGGCGCTGCACGGCCCGTTTCTTTTGCATGGAACGCAATGAAATAGCAATCATTTTAAACACTGCAAGAACTGCGGAACTCTGAAAGATGCTGTTTGTTGTGATGCTTTACTCACAGACCCAGTGACCCGAAATTCCAGCTTGGCAAAACAGCAAGCGTTTAAATATTAAAACGGGAATCAAGACATCAACTGCTGTTTAAAATGTGTTAAAATACACACACGAAACTAGAAAGAGGAACATGGCACAAGTGGAAATGATATCGAAGGAGGACAGGCTCTTTATTTGTGATGGCACTGTGCTTGCTAGAGTCTATTCCTCAGGATACAACACGTACATGTCAACAGGAAGGCTGACACTCTGTGGATGTCCCAGCAGCATTGTGGGTCGTTCCACAGAGAACAGAGGCAATGCGCAGGCAGAGTGTAGGCCATTTTCTGAGACAAGGCCACTGGGACCACAGAGACGTCAGCCTCCCAGCCTGCACTGGGAGGCACACAGGGGCACCAAGCCACAGTGGCAGTCTGCAGAGACACCCTTGTGGCTTTGGAGGTAGTCTGCTGCCCTTTTCCCAGTTCCCTTTCTGGCGGAAAGCTCCTCCTCTTCCTCCCAGCTCATGCACACTCACGCACTGCTGCAGGGAGCAAGAGGGCTTGCAGCCTCTGCCCCTCTCGGCACCGGCCAGCCCTCGCGCCTCGGCAGGAAAAAGGCCAGCGACAGCAGCAGAGGATCTGCTCTTCCCCCTCTGCAAAGCACGCAGGAGGAAGGATGTTCGTCAAAACACAGCGATTGCGCTGCTTGTAACACATGCTCCTGACACCTCCGTAGCACAGATTAACTTCGGTGTAATCTGACACTTGCCCAGTATGATCTGCTACATTAACGCTTTTTAAACTACTCCCTAAAACGTGGTCATTTTGGTTGCAGAGTGTTAGCGCTCACAGCAAGTTTTTGGGTAGCCAGCCAGGTTGATCCATCAAGAGATGCCAAGCTGAGATCTCCGGATCAGTGATCTGTTTGCAACCACACAAGCAAAATAATAATAATAATAATAATAATAATAATAATAAACTTTATTTTATATAGCGCCTTTAAAGGTGGCTTCTCAAAGCGCTTTACAGGATAACAACAACAATAACAACAACAATTTACAAGATCTGGGAGGAAAAATATGATCAATAATAATAATCAACTTTCTTTTATATAGCGCCTTTAAAGGTGGCTTCTCAAAGCGCTTTACAGGATGACAATAACAATAAATAAGAAGACTACAACAATAAATAAGATTTCACAAGATAGCACACAATTATAATTACAACAATAACAATAGGAGACCGTGGAAGGTGGTATTAAGAAGAGCAGAGGTGTCCAGTCAAATACAGACTTCAATTAAAAGGGGAGTGCTGTAAACAAAACAAGAAATCAAATGCTTCAAAGGGCACACTTCAACTGACGATGATTTCACTGCACAGGAGGTCTTCTGATTCCCCATGAAAAAAATAATTCTGCTTTGTAAAACAAGAGAAGAAAAATGCTACTTCTAGTTACTCTGTCTTAATCCTCTCTGCAGGAAGCAACACCTTCAAGACAGCCTGGTCCGCACTGTGATTAATCTTGCAGGAATTAGTGGCAGCAGGGATAGCTGTTTATCTAAAATAAATGAATGGTTTCATAAACTCCATGGACAAACACTATTTTATTTACCGTTGTGGAGAAGGACAGGAAGAGGAGTTTCAAATCAAACCAGGTTTACGGATAAATCAGCTTGGTCCTACCCATGTGATGTCACGCTGTTACCTTACCTTGAAGGCTTTTAGTTTATGTCCACAGGTGATATTCACATACCAGCATTTGCGAAAACACAGTGGAAACTTGTGCCCACGATTATCATCAGCTCTTCAGCTGCCTCTTTTATCAAGATTGTCTTGGACTTCTTTCCCTGCAACAGGGACACCGATCGGAAGACTTCCTGCTTTAAAAAGTATTTGTTTGCGGAATGACCCCCATGCTACAACAGTGACTCCGCTGGGCTGGAGAGGGTCAGACAGGATCTGGGGTTTGTTTACCAGTAAATCTGTCCATCAGAGAGTAAATATGGATCTGTCAGAGGGGATTACATATCAGAGCACTGAAGTGGCAGAATTTCTCTTCCGGCACTGTGCCCTGCTGAGGTCCTGCAGACCAGATCAAAGTGCCCTGCAGTGCTGCAGGTAGAGCAGCAGGTTTGGCAAAGATTGAGGTGGACAATAAGGGGCCTGTGTGCACAGTGATCCTGGGAAGTGAGAATCAGCTCGGAGCACTGTGCCAGTTTTGAGTCTGCTGCAGGCACACATCCAGGGCAGGGCACAGAGCTCACAGACTGCTTTTGTCACCAGCACTCTTCAAGCACCGGCAGGGAAACACTCTTCTCCGATTATTGACTGACCTGCTGCTATAGACCCTCAGCAATCTAACGTGTAAATTCATCTGACGGAACTCATTGATCCCGAATACAACTGAAGTGAAGCTGCAGGCTTGCAGACGCTCCTCATTTCCTAGTCATTATAACATTAATATACTAGCTTTATTTTGAAAAAATAACACACAGATTAATTTATTGGCATAATCATCTCGCATAAAGTATTCTGAATCTCAGCTAATCGATACCAGACGTTCTGTAAGAAACCATATTAATTTCCCAGTCTCTCCAACATGAGTAATAACGTCATGACTGGCATGAAAAACCTTGCTGTCCCCCATCCCAGCCTGGGATCTTAAAGTACCATTTCTGCAGAGTCAAGGATTGCATAGCAGCACAGTAGCTGGCAGGAGCACCTCTCTGTCTCCTTTCAGTGGCATTCAGCACTGAGCGAAAATCTGCGATTACAATGCAGCCACTCGACGCAAGCAGGGCACTTACAATTCATCAACCGTTAATGAATCTTTCAGAGCAGATAAGCGCAGGGCAATGGTGGCTGGAGTGGAGTGCTGCACCGGAGGCAGTGAGGTTCTGGAACAGCGTGAATTCAGAGAGAGACCTCTGTGATTATACGCAAGGTGAACAAATCGGGAACGCAAGTCCTCTGTTCTCCAGCGTGCACTGCTCACATCACAACAAGACAGGAGGTCAGTCTTGAGAACAAACTCACTCCCCCCTCACTTCATTTTCTGATGGAGCCATTACCTCATGAGAAACATGGCAGGCATTGCCCAACCTTCCAGTCCGACTGCCAGGAAGATAATGCCTCTTTTCTTCTTCGGTAATGACATTGCTTAAGTGCGTTCAAAACAAACAAGGAAACCGCACTCAGGAAGCTGCAGCAGGTTGGATGTAGTTCAGCATCACTCTTTAGGCAGCTGCAAGAGAAGCTCTGCTTACAAACGAGGGACGTTCTGTGGTCAGCTGCCGGCTCGGCATTTCCTGAAGACACTTCTCTGGTCTCGCCCTTGCTCAAGAAGAGTGGAAGGCAGGCCACAGCAAGAGAGAGACAGACCTCCGCAGACTGGTGCTGTGCTTTAATTAAATCTTTACTGAGTCCATATAACATCTCCTTCTGAAGCGCCAGCAGACGAGATGTTAGTTTAAGTTCCCCCTTCAGAGAAGCTGTATGGTGCCCTGGTGGGGCTGTTAATCAGACCGAGAGCCAGTTTTATGGGGTCAGGGATCTATTAACTGGCTTATTTTTATTGATTGTCTGCAAAGTGCTTCGTAATAGCCTTGGCGTAGAGTGGCCACAGAAGTGTGGTATTGTACTGCACCACTGTGTAAAAAGCCCTCTTCTCTATTAGGTCCGTTGATGTACGCCTCTATCTTTACAGAGCCCAGACAGGTGGTGGTGGTGAGGGGGGGGGGGGTTGTTGGTTGGGACGTACAAGGAATACAAAGTCTATTCAGCCAGGTCATGGTTTCTGACCAGTCCAGGGAAAAAAAAAAGCTGGCCGGAGAGGGGTCAATGTCAACGACAGGCAGCGGATAGCACCCCCCCCCGAGAGCCTTTCCACATCAGCTATGTTTCACCACAGCGCAGTAAACGAGTCCCAGGGGGTCCGGAGAAAGAAAGCAATTCATTTGGCGGCAGTCAGGAAAGGAAACAGGAGCGGTCTGTATCGCTAACACCGTTCTTGGGTAATGTGCGGCTGAAGTATAG